CCCCTGTAGTCTAGTAGGAAGGAGGGGGAGGGGGTCCCATGCACCCGAAAGATATATTTTTTTAACCTAACTTTTTGTAATCCTTAAGCTGTCTAGTAAATGGATTGTGATGGCCCCAGAGCAAATTATTGTCCCATATGTTTTTTATTGACCATCTTTAATGGCCGACCTGGATTTTCCATTGTGAAAAATGAAAACTTTAAATCAACATAACTCCTAAACTATACATCCGACAGACACCATTCATCCCATTTTATTTTTGTCTTTTCATGGGTAATTTGTTGAAAAAGAGATTCCTATGATTAGATCATGTTTGATGCATAATAGCTGGAGTAAACACAAAAAATGCTAAAATTCGCCTAAACTGTATCGCAGGAACTTCTCCCCTGTACACCCTATTGATATTTTTTTCAGTGGGTACGATCTTCACCCAGCCCTGGCCAGGATCGTAGTTTGGTAGCTCTTTTGTATGTGGTCAGATGGGGGTTGACTTGATTAACATGTGGAACCAGGTTCTCCCTGCAGGGAGGCAGTCATGAGAGGTCCACCTTCAATTTTGTGGTGATGGTCTCATCCTCCCAGATCATCTTTCTGAGAATGATGCTTCTAACGCTGTTCACAGATTTCTCCTGATAGTGTCCATACATCAGACATGTGAAGGCCTCGATGTGCTTGAACACTTCTGGTTCCACAGACCACTCTCACCAAGTTTTCTGAGGAGATAATTATAGAATCGCAAAGTCATATTGCATCAATACATAGGCCCAGCATGTACTTATKGCYATGACATGCTTCTATGAATCTGAATTAAAACATTAATCTGAAAACTGCATGGTACTTGGGATATCTCTGCAGCCTTTTTTAGAAGCCCAACCTTCCCTTTTCTCGTAAAGGTGCTTGTAACATCTTCCCCTGTGAAGAAATACAGGCCCAGTAGTGTAGTGTTGTGCAGAAACCCCCCCACCCCCGGATTTGGCCAGGTTGCTGACAGTTATGATTCTCCTGTGCTTCCCGGCCCCAATGTCCATGTAGATAGTAAGGCTTAAAGGTGAATTCAACACATACAGTGGGGAAAACAGTATTTAGTCAGCCACCAATTGTGCAAGTTTTCCCAGCCAAAATGATGAGAGAGGCCTATAATTGACATCTTAGTTAGACCTCAACTATGAGAGACAAAATGAGAAAACATATCTAGAAAATCACATTGTCTGATTTTTTTAAGGATTTATTTGCAAATTATGGTGTTACATAAGTATTTGATCAACAACAAACAAGCAAGATTTCTGTCTCTCACAGATCTGTAACTTCTTCTTTAAGAGGCTCCTCTGTCCTCCACATGTTACCTGTAGTAATGGCACCTGTTTGAACTTATCAGTATAGAAGACACCTGTTCTCAACCTTAAATGGTCACACTCCAAACTCCACTATGGTGAAGACCAAAGAGCTGAGTAAGACACCAGAAACAAAATTGTAGACCTGCACCAGGCTGGGAAGACTGAATCTGCAATAGGCAAGCAGCTTGGTGTGAAGAAATTAACTGTGGGAGCAATAATTAGAAAATGATAGACCTGCAAGACCACTGATAATCTCCCTTGATCAGAGGCTCCACACAAGATCTCACCCTGTGGGGTCAAAATGATCACAAGAATGGTCAGCAAAAATCCCAGAACCACATGGGGGGACCTGGTGAATGACCTGCAGAAGGCTGGGACTAACCTAACAAAGGCTACCATCAGTAACACACTACACAACCAGGGACTCAGATCCTGCAGTGACAGAYGTGTCCCCCTGCTTAAGCCAGTACATATCCAGGCCCGTCTGAAGTTTGCTAGAGAGCATTTGAATATTCCAGAAGAGGACTGGGAGAAAGTCATACAGTCAGATGAAACTAAAGTAGAACTGTTTGGTAGAAACAACTCGTCATGTTTGGAGGAAAGTGAATGCTGAGTTGCATCTAAAGAACACGAAACCTACTGTAAAGCATGGGGGTGGCAGCATCATGCTTTGGCACTGGGGCCATTTATCATGAGATTTAGAGTACAAACCTCCATCAGCAAGAGCATTGAAGATGAAACATGACTGGGCCTTTCACCATGACAACTATCCCAAGCACACCACCAGGGCAACGAAGGAGTGGCTTTGTAAGAAGCATTTCAAGGTCCTGGAGTGGCCTAGCCAGTCTCCAGATCTCAACCCCACAGAAAACCTTTGGAGGAAGTTGAAAGTCCGTGTTGCCCGCCGACAGCCCCAAAACATCACTGCTCTAGAGGAGATCTGCATGGAGGAATCCAGTTTTCACCTTCTGTATCATGACTGAGTACTCTGTGAAATGCTGGTTGTTTGGGGTGAAGTAGTCAATGGTAGATCTTCAGGRGGKTTGTCACCAGTAGCTGATACAAAGCCAGCAAACCCTGCAACAAGTTGCTTTAATCCACTACTCCCCACCACTTGGACAAGTAACCAGACACGATGCAGTTTGAGCAGACTTTGTTGTTTGTGGAATAAAAACTGCTCCATCAGGTAAAGGTGCTTTATTTGTCATCAATGCATGTTCACATGCAAGGATGAAATTTGTGTTCTGCATTTGACCCATCACACATGAGAAACACCCAAGAGGAGATGCAAGCAGCTATGTGAGGGCTGGGGAACAGTTGGTTATTGGGTCTGTTGCTCAAGGACACCACGACAAGTGGGCATGGTGGGGAGTTGAACCTCTGACTTTCTAGTCCCAAGTCAGCTCTTACCACTACACCACAGCCACCCTCAACTTGGGTCCAATTCGGTTATAGATACAGATGGGGTTTCAGGTGTATACCTTCAAAGAGCATGTCTTTTTCTGTTCATAGAGGAAACTTTATTTGATTTTCCAGAGTTGGGAACATCAAATCCAGTTTCACCTCCTGTATCATGATCCCATTAGTCCATTTACCCACATTGGAGCCATGGATGTTTGTAGTTATTTTGTTCAGATTGTCCCACTCAAGATGAAACACATCGTTGCCCTCACCAGTGATAATTTGTGGACTGAGAGAATAGAAAACCTCATCTCTCCTGGATGTCTTTTTTGCTGGATCAAACTGTTTATACTCACCATTATTTTCTTTCTTATGTTTCTTTGGCGTTATTAGCAATGATCAGCCTATATTTATAGAAACTTTAACATCAATTATTTTTCAACATTTAAAACTGATGAAAATTAAWTAACTGCCTAAACCCTTATACCAACGCCTACAACAAATTGCCAGAATAATTTAAAGGGTGTAGTTTAGAATTTGATAGTTTGTGCTTAGAACCAGTGCTAATGCTAGCTTGTAAATTTGCAAATGTGWGTCGACATCCAAGATGGCTGACAAAATCAAATCCTGGCAAATTGTTTTTAAGTAAAAAATATGTGTAGCCTATAAACCATTTTGTAGTTAGAAATTATCACAATTGCCATACATGAAGCGGGCCGACTTGACACGTCATCGAGATAAGCTGAGATTGCCATGGAAACGCCATTGTAAATGCACGACTATTGATTTTACAAAATGTTTCCATTTATTTGTGTGACAATGCTTCATAAATCCTCCAGTCATGTYATACTCATCTCCATTAATTCCTCGTGCCAAAATGGAACCAAAACTGGGGTCATTTGCCTCTGCACAATGTCTAGTTAAGTCAATATGTTGAGTTAACATTCTCTTTTTTGCATTTGTGGAAATCCAGGTTGGCAAACAAAATGGCAGAATAAATATACATGTGACAAAATTTCAAGTGGATATCATCAACTTGTGTTTACTATGCATGTTGAAGATTATAAATATACAAAGCTTTGAAAAAAATATCAATAGGGTGTACAGGGGAGAAGTTCCTGCGATTCAGTTTAGGCAAATTTTAGCATTTTTTGTGTTTACTCCAGCTATTATGCATCAAACATGATATAATCACAGGAATCTTTTTTTTTCAACAAATTACCCATGAAAAGACAAAAATAAAATGGGGTGAGTGGTGTCTGTCGGATGTGTAGTTTAGGAGCTGTGTTGATTTAAAGTTTTCATTTTTCACAATGGAAAATCCAGGTCAGCCATTAAAGATGGTCAATAAAAACATATATGGGACAATAATTTGCTCTGGGGCCATCACAATCCATTTACTTGACACCTTAAGTAGTACAAAAAGTTAGGTTAAAAATATATCTTTCGGGTGCATGGGACACCCTCCTTCCTACTAGACTAGAAAGCCATTGGGAAATTAACTTGTTAGAGAAAATGCTCGTTATTGTGAAGACATATCTCCCGGCTTCCAAAGTGTTCTCATGCCTTAAAAAAAATTGTATAAATATTGACTTAAACCTATATTGTTAGCTTTCATTTGAATTCTGAAGAATATTTTTTTTATATCATTGGCTGTAAAGCACCATCTGGCCACAAATAACGTGCACAGACAGGTAATCAACAGC